GCGCTGCAGTTTTTGTTTGGCACCTTCTGAGACAAAAGCCTAGGAAGGCCTAGGAGGTCCATAAAACCTCCACAAACAATGGTTGATGTCACCCAGGGACATGGATTTCATGGGCTACTTGTAAAGACTACAATTCTGAACTAACCTTGGATATGCTGGGCTTCCCTGGCTTCCTTGTGCTTCTGATTCTTTGCCTGGCTGCCCCGGGTCCAACCCTCGAGGCTGGGAAGCCACGAAGCAGCTACTCACCGTGCCTCAAGTAGATGGGCCATCTAATTGTACATCCCAAGTTCCCAAGCAATCCATGTAACATATAGTGTTTTAAAAAACAATTATACCAGCGTAGACCCCAAACAGAGCAAGGTTCAAAAAATGAGATCTCCGAACAATATGGCCAGCAGTATTTCCTAGAGGAAGAAAACTATAGTCCACCATGTAGACGCACATACAAGATTCAAAGGGAAAGCATTAAAATTCTGTTTTTCATTGACTTTACAATGGGACGCCGCAAAAGGGCTAAAATTAATCGGCCCAGCATCCAGCCAAGCCCGGGGATACAAAGCATCCAGACAGGCCATGGCAAACAAGTGGAAGACAAGTGAGCTTACTGGGCGCCAAGTCGAGACATGTGGGAGACAAGTGTGAAATCATGCGGCCAGAGCACTCAGAGCATCCAGAGCTTACTGGGAGACAAGTGGGAGACAAGTGTGAAATCATGCGGCCAGAGCACCTCTCCTTACTGGGAGACAAGTGGGAAACAAATGGGAGACAAATGGCAGACAAGTGTGAAATCATGCGGCCAGAGCACTAGAGCATCCAGAGCTTACTGGGAGACAAGTGGGAGACAAGTCTGAAATCATGCGGCCAGAGCCCTCAGAGCATCCAGAGCTTACTGGGAGACAAGTAGGAGACAAATGGGAGACAAATGCGAGACAAATGGGAGACAAGTATAAAATCATGCGGCCAGAGCACTGAGAGCAAACAAGTGGGAGACAAATGGGAGACAAGCCTGAAATCATGCGGCCAGAGCACTGAGAGCATCCAGAGCTTACTGGGAGACAACTGGGAGACAAGTGGGAGACAAATGGGAGACAAGTATAAAATCATGCGGCCAGAGCACTGAGAGCATCCAGAGCTTACTGGGAGACAAGTGGGAGACAAATGGGAGACAAGTATAAAATCATGCGGCCAGAGCACTGAGAGGGAGACAAATGGGAGACAAGTGTGAAATTATGCGGCCAAGCACTCAGAGCATCCAGAGCTTACTGGGAGACAAGTGGGAGACAAATGGGAGACAAGCCTGAAATCATGCGGCCAGAGCACTGAGAGCATCGAGAGCTTACTGGCTGGGAGACAACTGGGACAAATGGGAGACAAGTATAAAATCATGCGGCCAGAGCACTGAGAGCATCCAGAGCTTACTCGGAGACAAGTGGGAGACAAGTGCGAGACAAATGGGAGACAAGTACTGAGAGCATCGAGAGCTTACTGGGAGACAAGTGGGAGACATGTGGGAGACAAGGGTGAAATCATGCGGTCAAGCACTCAGAGCATCCAGAGCTTACTGGGAGACAAGTGGGAGACAAATGGGAGACAAGCCTGAAATCATGCGGCCAGAGCACTGAGAGCATCGAGAGCTTACTGGGAGACAAGTGGGAGACAAGTGGGAGACAAATGGGAGACAAGTACAAAATCATGCGGCCAGAGCACTGAGAGCATCCAGAGCTTACTGGGAGACAAGTGGGAGACAAGTGGGAGACAAGGGTGAAATCATGCGGCCAGGAACACAAGCCCGGAGACAAACTCAAAATCATCCGGCCCGAGCATGCACCCCCCTAAAAGGAGTAAGAACCCCTCACAGGTAAACCTGTTTGGGGAAATACATCTAATTACATATACATTACATTATATACATTAATTTATCATGGTTTTAAAATCCATGTGCATGTGTAAAGATATCCCAGTGTCTGGGTTTGACCACCCAACCAGCAAAAAAAGGCATGGTCATGCGACCAGAGTTGGAGGGGGCGATCCTCATGCCGCCAGCGCAGAATGTTCCCAACACGACGGAGTTGGTAGGAAAAAGCTGTTCCAGTAACAAAGGGAAGGATGACGTCCATGATGGAAGCCATGATGGAAAACAGATCGATGCGAATCAGTTTGTGTGATCACTCCTTGGTAGATCTTGGAATCCTTAGTCCCCTATCATAGGCTGCTAGGTATAGCAAAGAAGTCTCCAGTCCCTCCAGCTCTCCAGTGCTCTGGTCCCAACCGCTGGAGACTTCGGATGGAACCAAAACACAGCACCACCGACCAACCCTCCCAAAAGGCCATCATGTGGGTGTGTTTTGTTTCAGGATCCTCAACCAATCGGTTCAATGGGTTTTGTTCTATTTGTGTTTTCTTCCTTGAGGTCTCTGGGAGGTCCCTATTTTAGTACCACACCCATGTAGACGCGCCATCTTTAGCCTCCGAAGTAGGGGTCAGACAGAAAACTGTAGAGGGCGCCTGGGGTGGAACAAATCCCTATAGGTTTTCAGCGACCGGTCACCAATTCTTCAACACGAGGTCGCTGGATGTGTCCCTTCTGTTCCGAGGGTAAGTGTTCCGTCGTAGCTTGACCAGAAATGTATCTTGTCTTGACACCGTGATTCACCGTGATTGACGATTATGCTAGCCTGCAATCTTGATCCGAGGGTCTCAAACGGACCAAGCTGACCACGAACTTACGCAATGGATTGAAGCAACATGCAAAAAAAATAACTCACCTCCAATCCAATTACAGCTATTGTTTCACTATGTTTCAGAAGCACCATGTGATGGTTTTATAAAAGAATATAAAAGAATGTCAATGTGTTAAAAAATAATAAAACACCTCACCTTTGGCAAAACCACCAGAAGCTCTTATAGACCAAGAGGTTTTCACTCGGCTCGGAGCCCGTCGTGCTCCACCTGGCCCGTCTTCACCATCCCTGCAACGACGCGGCACGCGAAGATGACTGGCCGTGGTGTTAAAACGATACTAAACCAAATGAGGAGTGGAGTGGAGGATCAAGATGCCTATAAACCGCCACACAGGCAATAGAATGTGCATGAAAATGACATATATTATACTTACATAGAGTCTTACATAGTACAGTTCAGCAGAAGTTCAAAAACTACCATAAAGTCTCCTGAATGAGGTGCTCCTCCAGAAAACGGTGAATCGTCCACTCAAGCACCGCAGTGTGCAAACAAACCCGTGCGCGAGTGCTACCCTCTCTACCCCAAGCAATTGTAGCTCAATACAGAAATGAAAGCCTCCACCTTTGGTCACATGTCGCCGAAGAGCTCATCGTCCAAACCCACAAGGTGTTTATTCACAATCAAACCACGGGCCAGAAATAGATCCCCGACTTGAATGTGGCTCATCCAATTTGTGGGAAGCGCATTCCAGAAATTCTTGCTGCGCGGTGGAAGAACCAACGGGAAGGCATCGACTGCGCGAATGCCGATTTCTGGGGACCGGCCCTGCTTCCTCCGGCGCTCATCCCAGGTCTCCACCCCGCCTGGTGCCACACTTCTACGCGCCGAACCGGCTATCTAAGCAAGGCTTAGATGGGCCACACGAGCCGTGCGGTCGCCCAAGGACCCGAGACAGAAGGACGGGGGCCAATGCGAATCGGAACCGGCGACGGGAGGCGGAACTGGCGAATCCCATCGTTTCGATATGACTTGTCTTTCATCCTCTCGAAGTGTGGTCACGGATGGTCGACCTGGTTCGACCTCTTCACGGAAAAAAACATACCAAACACATCGTCTTTCTGCGAGGCGTTCGCCTCGTCACGACAGGTTCCGACGAGTGTTTGGGCCCGAAGGAAGGAAGGCCATTCCTAGTGGACGAGTTCGTCTGAATCGCCCTTGAATTTGTCAACTGTTAATTTGTTCGGATCCTGAGATAATCTGAAGGTCTGCAAGTATTGAGAGATAGGGACATAGGGACGATTATGTTGTGTGCCACTATGTCCAGTTGCCGTCGAAAAGTTCCCCCAAAAAGACCCTTGCAATCACTGTCCACAAGTGATGTTGTAATCTGGTACTGTATCTCCTTATATCTCATGGATTCTCATTGTATCAGTCCTGGGTTGGGCAGACTGACCAGCCGTCTGTTGCAACCACGGACTCGCCCACAGGCAGGGTGTTTTCAGAGCTGGTCCTCTTCTGCCACTGAGATCTGTGATGATCTGTGTGGATCCGTGGGGAGGAGGAAGGCAAGACCTGTGGTCGCAAGACCTGTGGTCGCAAGACCTGTTTCTTCTATAACCAAAACGTCACTTTCCCCAGCATCTTTTGCCTCCCCGTTCGCCCCTCCATGTGCAGGTCAGGTCCTTTCGTCTCCTCTCGTCAAGTCCTGCCAGTTCGGAAAGGATGCGTGGCCACACGGGACCAGCTCACCAGTTTGTCCTGCAGTGCTACTTAGACCAGCTTCATCCAGGCCCACCTGCCTGCCGGCTTACCCAGTAGACACGGCCAGTAAAACCAAGTAACTTGCCGATGTCGGTATCACCTGTGACCGTGCCGATGCTATGACTCAAGCCTCAAAGGTGATCGAAGTTGGGAGTTCAATTCTTCGTTCAAGGCGACCAGAGGGGAGATCACAAAGGACCATCGATCACGACGGTCGAGTTGCAGTAAAAGAATCTCATGCTTGATCGACGACCAATCAACATTTCACACTGTAGAAGGACACCTCCCAAAATGTATGGAACGATGGTCCAATAAACCGCCTACCGCCTACCCTACCGCCTCCATCTTTTTTCAGGCCAACCCCTCGTCGTCCAGCTGCCCCTTTGTTCAGCCATCTCGGGTCCACTTCTTGAGACAGATCATGCTCCGAGAAAACCAAACCATCCCAAACCATCCCAACCCGCCGGAAAACCAAACAAAGCCACGGCCATCATACTTCGGCGTCGTCTTCTATCCGATCCGCAGCACGCACGGCGATCCGCACCGCACTCTGCGGATCGTCTGGTGGTCTCACTCTTCCAGACCCTCGAGCAGCACAGCGTTTCGCCCACGGCACAGCCCTCCCCCCTCCCATCGAGCAGGAGGATCGGATCGGATCGGAGGTGCCTTGAGTGCTTGACCGATCAAATGTAGCCTCGGCTCGTGTGGAACGGGGGCAAGGAGGGCGTGTGTTCTACAACTGCTAGAGGTCGGAGTGGGGGCAAGCATGGAGCATGGAGCACCATGCAGATGTGCTGTAGATGTGCCGGGGACCCATGCTAATGTTGAGGGGATCGAAGTGGTTCATGTGCATGTTTGCGCTGCAGTCAAGTCTACTTGGAGCTCAGGTTCAGTTCCCATACTGGGAACAGCCGTCTCAAGAGGCCTAAAGAGCTTCGATGACCCGTGGTTCATAGTGGTTCACGATGGTTCGTGTGCATCCACATGACCACCTGAACCGCACTGGTTTATAATGTAGATCATCTTCATCAAAAGGGACATGCCATATATGATCACTGATATGGTCATATAATCAATGCATATTAGAACATGTGTCATATTCAGATGTCTGTCGGATATCTGGAAGAAAACCAGAGGCCTCGCCGCTTCGTCGTGATCCCCGGGATCCCCTGGCGCCGCCGGCCACGCGCCGCCGACCTGGCGTTGGGGTGGTGGTTGGTCTGTCTGGGTCTGTCTGGGGCTGTCGAGTCCGGGAGTCCCAGACGGGTCGTACCAGAACCAAATACCAATTAAGAAGTCCTCCATGTATGAACGAGCACAGATGATGTGTCTGACTGACTCCCCGAGTCCCTTTTCTGTTTATGGAAGTTTCGCGAGAATAGGGAGATGGATAGAGTTGGGATTCAGGTTCTGATACTGCTCATTTGCATTGAAGGCAAACATAGGAGTTGCAAAAGAGTCTTATAAACGCCGATATAGTACAAGTATGTACAAGTTAACATGTCCTGGAGTCTCCCTATTTTGCAACCTAGCTATCCATAGATCAGATGATGATTGCACCACTATCATCCACCGGTTTGGGTCTTTCTCTTCCTATCAGGGCTTCTGGTTTATGGCTCCCCCTGCAGTGGTGAGCTTCCAGACATGGAAAACATGCGAAGAAGGAGCTTCTTCGAGGCTTTCTTCCACCAAATCCAGCCTGACCAACAACACGGCTCGATCTGCACCACCAAGCTCCTTTCTTCCTCAAATCCGGCGTTCACCATCCCGTCCACCTTCGGACCGCACTTAAAGCCGCGTTCTCCCCACGCGCGCGCCTTGCACGCCGCTTGCACGGCCTTCGTCCATTCGGCCACCGAGTTGGTCCCCTGACGCCGGAAGCGACGCCGACCGTTCGACGACCGTTCGACGCGGGGGTCTCCGGGGCGCGGTGATCCCAGTGGGGGTGGCCTGGCGCAGGAAAAGACGCGCTGATCGAAAGATTGCAAATGGGTTGGCGATGTACTGTCTTGTTTGGAGTCTACAAACCTGCAGCTGCAGGCTCAGACATGGGATCTGAAGCCGCGAATAGCAGCACAAATGTCCGTCCAGGCACAAAAACAGGCCAAAAAGGGCATGAGCCAAACTTCCGCCAGGTTGCCAGGTCATATACACTACATTCTGCCATATGACACGCAATGCCTTGTCACCTTGTCCACCCAGTCGCTTTTGTCATAGGCACCATGAAGAAAACCTCCGCCCCGGCCCTCGCCCTCCCCTCGTCTCTCCATGGCCTCGACAACACCGACGCCCGCCGTGTGGGCGACGACGCCTTGGCGGTGGGGCCAGCGGTCCGGGTCCGTACTGGGTCAGATTGAGGGATGTCTAGGGCCCTGAAGAGGAATGGACCTTGGTGAAGCTCCTATTCCTTCGATGTTTTTAGAGAAGAGGGCCACTGGCATGGTCCCACCCCGGACCACGATGGTCCACTTGTTGTTCAATCAATGTTCTTAGTACTATCAGTAAGCTGGCTTGCACTTCTCAAGACACCTGCATCTTCTCTCAAGACCTTTGGGCCAGGCTTACTATTCGCTTGCTGTTTTAGTGCTGCCGCCTCTACCCGATACGCAGCCATCCGCCACAAAGGGAGACCCTCAGTCAATCAAAACCCACAGGAACGCGCGGTCCAGTGATACTGAGACATAACTGCAGTTATATATATACATCCCGGCTTGTTCGCTCAACCAACGAGACCACCTCACACAACCTCACTTAGTCAAAATTGCCTCAAAACCTCTCTCAAGCTGCTGAATCCCTCGTCTGTACTTTTGAGAATGAACGAATGAGCATGAGGGCGCCCTCCAATCTTCCACGCGGATGGATGCTTTGCCGGTCTTTGCGCGTCCATTGATTACTTGGCACTTCAGCTGAGAGCCCCGGCGGCGAGCAGTGCGCACAGCGAGCATCACCCTCCATGGCAACTTGGAGAGTGGTCCAACCAAGCAAGTTGGTCCCTGACGCAGTTCGACCCCTGTGGAAGCAGCACAAATGGATACAGTACATATTCAGTTCTTGATTCAGTATAGGTTAGGTTAATATTGCATTCCTATCTCACATTTTGTTGGTGGAAGCAGCTGAAATCACTGGGTTATATCGTGTCGAATACACCGTATGTTTGGAGCTTGTTTATATGTGCGGCTAAAAAAAGTACTTGTTGTTGCAGTGTCAAAGGTGGGTATATATTATATGCACAGGATTGGAAAGTAAGAAACCTCATCTCTACTGCTTGTGGTGGTGAGGAACCTACTCTGCCTGCCGGCACGAAGGTCCTGTAAGGTGGAGATCTTGCCATATCTTGCTGGCCTTATACAGGAATAGACAGGATATCTTGCCAAGATACAGGATTACATAGTAAGGTGTATCCTGTCTTACTCTTTATCTATCTAGTCCAACCATTAATCCCTGTCTACGAGCCATCAGAAGACACCAATCTCTGGCTGCTCATGACGTGGAGTGTCCAGTCCAGCCGTGTCTAAGACATTGGAAGTCGAGTTTGTAGATGAATGACCAGTGCTTGTCCACCCCATCTGATTACCCACTTGACGCCTCCATGACACTGGACGAGATCTCATCAGCTTCAGCTTCTATGCTGTGTCTGATTTTCAAAGAATTCATTGCCAGCAAGCCAGCTTGGCACATCTCTTCCTGCACATCCCAGAACCCAAACGCTCCATGGGACTGCCATATATGTATATCCCCAAAACCACCCCTGATCGGCAGTCCCATGGGTCATGTCTGGGGAATGTCGCACGGCAACCCGACCGTCGCTTCAGTCTCTCTCTTTTGGGTCGCGCGGATCAATCGTCGGATTGGTCGGGGGAAAACTCTTCAAAGGGTAGGACCTCGAGAAACGGCACCGGCAATGCCTTCAGCATCTTCGGAACGATCTGCAACTGGGGACACCACATCAGTTTGAGATATGTTCGATGTCGTATCATATTTCTCGTCAGTCGTGTAGACAGGAGGGGTGAGTTGGCCTACTTATGTGTACCTGGATGCAAAAACGCTTGCTGTGGTGTGACAGCAGAAGTGTCAGCCGCAAACCACTGAAGGGACCCGTTGGAAAGGCCATGCCATGCCGACTTCATCTTACCTCCACTTGGCATGCTCATGATCCTTCTTGATAGCATGCAGAACAAAACTGAAAGTCTCCTCTCGAACTTGGAAGGTGGAACTCCCGTGAAGACACACGACTAAATCGGGAGCTTTAAAGTGATGCCTATTGGAGAGGGGGTCCTGAATTCTCCATGATCCATTCACTGGATGGGTCTATAAAATCAAAAATCGGCGTCTAAGAGAAACGAAACTCGTTCATTGGGATTTCCCTCTGTGTCAAGGTGTTCAAGGCAATGCCATGGGTTCATCGCACTGGTGCTAGTATTGGCTCTGAAGCAGAATTTCAGGGGTCGTCGCGGAAGGTCGTCCCGACCGTCCTCTCTCAGGGTCGCTCGTTTGAACGCCGCTCCGAGGATACACGGCCAGTCCGACCGGTTCTGAAGACTTGAACAATTTTGGGGCGCCAAATGGAGAAGATGATAGAAGTCAGTGAAGGATTTATGTGTTAGTCCATTGACAAGTCATGCATCCAATGTTGAAGAAGGTTCAAGTTTAGGAGGACTTGCCAGACTGACTAGACCCCTGGTAAAGAGCGATGTTTGTAGACTTAAGCCGTAAATCGTCAAACAAATCTGTATTTGGGGCCAACAGCGACGGGTCTTGACAGCGACCAAAAGCCCACTGGTAACAAAACAAGAAAAGGCGTCGTTCGGAATGGTTCTTTGGACCGGAAATGCGGTGGGACGGAACCATCTTCAAACATGCAAACAGTTTGTCATATTGGAACAGGAACCTGAGAATACGCTGTCATCCATCCACCCCACCTGCTGAGCTGCTGCAGGGTGCGAAAAACAAGGTCCTTGTATGGTTTTGAACTCTAACTTGATCCTCATAGAACCCGCGAGCTTCTGCCCCCAAGGCTTCAAAGAAAAGCAGGCCGCTGCTTTGCTCTGCCATGGAAGCTGTTCTTTCCGCGCCAGATCGGCAGTGGCTTCACGGGGGTGGAATAAATTTACTTCCAGCCGAACAAAAACCGTCGCTGGGGATCTATAGACATGTCAGTCCTCTTCGCCCGACTGGCTTCTCTTCCTCCCACGCCTAAAGCTTAAGCAATATCACCAGCTTGCCGTTCAGTCACTAAACCCCACACCGAAAAGGTCTTTCAAGTTGGTTCATAGTGGTCCAACAACAAATGCGGAGCGCAGTGACGGTCTGCTTCTTGAGGCCAACCTCAACAGGCTAGTCATGAGGTAGGCCGGGGACCTAGCTTGGTGGAAAGTTGCTTAGGGTTTAGGAGTCTTCAGTGCTTGCTTCCTGCTTAGTCTATCTTGATCTCAATTTCCAGGCAGATTCAGCAGCCACTCCTGTCAAATCACAGGAAGTTGCACACAATTTTGGGTGTGACAAGGGCGGATTCGGCATGATGTCAGCTGCTTGGCTTGAAACTCGACCAACTTCTGCGCCGTTCTTCCGCCCTGGCCACTGGGATTGGCAGCAAAGTCACCTCTGCCGAACCACTTAGGCGCAGAAGGCGCTGTCACCAGCCTTTCGGAGGATGTCCACCTCGAATGGAAAAGGAGAGGATGAGAGGATGAGAAAATTGGACGATCTGTGGCTTGGTATCTGGTGACTGACATTGATGTCAGCTGCATCAGGGATCAAATGAGGTGATCAAAGAGCATATTCAAGTTGCCTTATAGCTTTCCTGTGCCTCTGAAGGAACCACAGCAAAACACTCAGCGTGCGGCCACCGACTTGAAGGCGAACCACTCGGGGATGTCCTCGCGCGAGACGCGCGTTTCGGAGACGCGAGACATGAGGGAGTCGGGAGAGAAGGGAGCACGGTAGCAGCGTGGATGGAGGGAACTTGCTTTTCAAGTGGCCTTGACGGTGGCTATGCCATGCTCATATGACTCATTTTTGGCAGGTGTTTGATTCACCCTTTTCCAGATCTCCCCCATCCACCCCTGCTGTGCCTTCTTTCATCCTAGACTGCTAGACCATGGTGTCATCAGGACAGTACCCCCTAAAAGGTCTCAAAAAGACCAACATGACCTTTTGGCGAATGGTACCTGAGAACTGCAACATCCGACAAACAAAAAAGATACCAGCACCCCCAGTCGGGCTATTTCATGGACACTTCCGAATCACAGCGTAGCGTTCAGGGGTTATTCACATAGACACCCCGACAGGTGTCGGGTCCTGGTCAATAACGCTGCCATATGAAAAGTTCCCTGTACCTGGACCTTCAAGGGGTGTCCACTGGAGGTCCCTTAGTGTAGGAGTGTAGGGGTTTCCAGCCAGGTGACCCGTTTGAAGGTGCTGGTAGCTCACAACACATCGATCAGAGCCCCAAAAAACCTTCCAGGAGCCCCTTCCCTGGTGCTTCCCCTCTGGACCGTTCCACCCGGCGAACGCACCACCCCGGGGCCCGCCCCGTGGAGAACTCGTTCTCCTCGCCGGCGCGCAGCCGTCGGCGGAACTCGGTTCCAGAGAGCTTCACGACCTGGAGGAAGGGTTTCGGTCCAGCTTCGCTTCAAGGGTCTAGGATGTTTTAGGGTTTAAGAGGTCCAACTTCCGAACAAGAGGTCCAACTTCCAACCCGTTCTAGACTACGGGAGTCTTTTTGAGCAAGCTGCAAGGGTAGTGAGTGTGTGGTTCCAGGTTTTAAACCCACAGCTGGTTTTGACCATCGGCGATGGTTCAAAACCACATCCATATGTGGTCACCAATATGGTTTGGTATCTAATACGGTTTAAGTATCTGTAATATGGTCCGATGATATGGGGATCCAAATGTCTTCAACTGACTTGGCTGTGGGTCACAAATCTGGAGCCCCAAACTCGTGGCTTGACCTCCCTTGTCGATATTCTGTTCATTTTGGGATGGGAAACACCGGTACCGAACCAAGGTACTTGAGGATCAGCTGTCAACCCATGTTTTCCGAATCCTTTCACCTGCAGAGGGCGGGTACTCGAGAGCTCAGCATCGGCCGCGAAAAAGGAGACTTCGTCCGCTCCTTTCGTTTCTGGGGAACTTCGTGTGTCCACAGAACCTGCTACCACCGCAGTTGCATGGTAGCGGAGCCCCAACCGGGGCTCCAGACACGCTACCGCTGCGCACTCCACTTGCACAACAACAACTGAACATACACACCACTAGCAACAACACCTCACTGAACACCACTCCACAGACACGACTGCTCCAGCACCCATGGCTGGCACCTCGACCTTAGACACCACCAGCCTGAGGGATAGCTTTATCCCACAGTTTGACGGCCAACCACAGTCCTACAGAGAATGGAGGAAGAGAATAGCTATATACCACCACAAGATGACCCTCCAGAAAAGATCCGGCGAGAGCCTGCTCAACCTCATCGGAAGCTTGCAGGGTGCTGCATGGAAAGTCGTTGAAGACTACGATCTCAAGAAGATCGAAAAGGAGGGAGCCTTCGATGAGTTGATGGGCATGTTGGATAAGGCTTTCGCCTATGACGACAGAGTTCAAATGCCGCAGGATTTTGAGAACTTCTTCACCCACAACCTGCGCAAACCTGGCTCCACACTTTTGCAGTTCTGCACAGAGTTTGATGAGAAACTTCGACGCCTCCAAGCTCACGGCGTGAAGTTGCCGACAACTGTGCAGGGCTGGTTTCTTCTCAAAAAGGCCAATGTGACCAGGGAGCAGCGACAACTTGTGCTCACTCATGCACCCGGCCTCGAGAGGAACAAGGTCCAAGAAGCCTTGTACTTGTTTCTTGGCCAGGATCACAAAGCAGCCGTGGTTCCTGAACGTCGTCCCTTCGGACGAGGTAAGGGGCACAAAGCCTTTGTGGCTGAAGAAGGCTGGGATGACCTCGATGAAGCCTTCTACCAAGAAGATTACGGCTGGGAAGATGACTATGAGGCTCCGACCA